CTCTAACTTGCTAATCCATGTTTGTAAGACAATATAAACACATGAAAAATTCATTCTTTTTCCAATGTGGGACAAAGGTGGACAAATATCCAACAATACCCCACATTTTCTATTCAAACTCCAATAATACCCCACATTTGAATAGAAAATAAGCTTACAGACATAGGAAATTATTTGCTATTCATGAAGCTAAATACAATGTACATCAGGAAAGGTGTCTTTTGGACTTGAACCGTCCTTAGTGAATACAAATCGGATCTACTTAGTGGGTAGTGAACATAAGTCTTGAACTAACCACCATTAGTAGTAAATCTAGACAATTAGCATCACATACATCATATTTATACGTACATCGATTCTTACGGTTGTGTTCATTTCGGTCGTGAACAGAATCCTTTCTTCATGAGACTTTTAGAGAACTTAGCCATCTCGGTTCTCAAAGATGCGACCGCACACCAATCTCATATAGGTAATGTCAATCAGGGACATTCCGTAGTATCCCACTGTAAGAGCTATTGACATTATTAAGAATAAATTCAACCCTTTAAACTTCTACGGAAAACACAAATAAATCATCATAGGAATAAGCATACCTTTTGTGTTAAGCGCTTGAATCTTCCTCAACTAGTTGGCCTATTGAACCTAGGCCATGGGATCTCCATTGTTGCTAGGTTAGGTTTCCGCCAAGGAGTGACTCTTGTATTGGCTTTAAGCCCATTCCCCTCGATGAAAAAATGACTTGTTCTCGATTTAGGCCTTTTGTCAAAGGATCTGCTATATTTGCCTTCGACTTTATGTAATCAATGGAGATGATTCCATTCTTCAACAAGTCTTTGATCGTGTTATGGCGTCGTCTTATATGTCTAGACTTGCCATTGTAAATTTGGTTCTTTGCTCATGTTAAAGCAGCCATGCTATCACAATGGATGCAGATAGCAGTACCAGGCTTTGGCCATGACGGAATACCCTCAAGAAAGCTCTTGAGCCATTCGGCTTCTTCAGCAGCTTTGTCTAAAGCGACAAACTCAGCTTCCATAGTCGAGCGGGTATTAACCGTTTGTTTGGATGATTTCCAAGATATTGATGCTCCACCAAGTGTGAATACGTATCCACTTGTGGACTTACTTTCTGAATTGTTTGAAATCCAGTTCGCATCACAATATCCTTCTATCATAGGAGGATATCTTGTGTAGTGTAAACCATATTGAATTGTATGTTTGAGATAGCGAAGCACTCTCACTAGTGCATACCAGTGATCTCTTCCCGGATTATGTGAGTACCTACTTAATCTACTCACCGTATATGCAATATCTGGTCTCGTACAATTCATGATATACATCAAGCTACCAAGAACTTGAGTATATTCCAATTGTGATACACTATCTCCCTGATTCTTTTTGAGATTAGTAGATTGATCAAACGGGGTTACCACTGGTCTATCCTCATAATGTCCAAATTTTCTGAGGACTTTTTCAATGTAATGGGATTGTGTCAGAATGTAACCATCAGAATTCCGATGAATTTTGATTCCGAGAATTACATCCGCTATTCCCAAGTCTTTCATATCAAAGGAGGAATTTAACATCTTCTTTGTCTGATTGATCACATCCATGTTGGTACCCATGATCAACATGTCATCTACATATAAGCATATAATTACATATGCATTCTTATATTGCTTGATATACACACATTTATCACATTCATTTATTTGAAAACCTTGAGATAAGAGTGTATGATCAAACTTTTCATGCCACTGCTTTGGCGCTTGTTTAAGTCCATATAGTGACTTAGTCAGTTTGCAGACCTTATTCTCTTGACCTTTAACAACAAACCCTTCGGGTTGTTGCATATAGATTTCTTCATCCAGTTCACCGTTTAGAAATGCAGTTTTCACATCCATTTGGTGTATTTCCAAATTGTGAATTGCTGCAATTGCCACAAGAGTTCTTATCGAGGTTATTCTCGTAACCGGAGAGTAAGTGTCAAAGAAATCTTGACCTTCTTTTTGACGATATCCTTTGGCTACCAAACGAGCCTTATATTTTTCAATCGTCCCATCAGGTCTAAGTTTCCTTTTAAAGATCCATTTATGGCCTATTGGTTTGTGTCCCGGTGGGAGATTAACCAATTTCCATGTATTGTTTTGAATAATGGAATCAATCTCACTCTGTATGGCCTCTTTCCAATAAGGAGCTTCGGATGAGTCCATAGCTGCCTTATAGGTCAACGGTTCACCTTCTACATTAAAGGTCATGTAATCTGGTCCAAAATCTTTGACTATTTTCCCACGCTTACTTCTTCTAGGTTCAATTTCTTTTTGTACATTGGAAGTGCCTTTCCCGCTCGGGTTCGTACTTGGATTTGGTTCATCATGAGGTGTGATCTCCTCAATTCCTCTTTTTGTCAGAATAGAAATTGCTTTCTCCTTGTCTCTATAAGGAAATGAGGTTTCAAAGAATTCTGCTTCGGCAGATTCTATTATCGTGTTTACATGCACATCCTCAACTTGTGACTTGTGTACAAGAAACCTATAGGCTGCATTGTTCTTGGCTTGACCAAGATATATGCAATCTATGGTTTTCGGTCCAAGTTTAGTCCTCTTTGGTAAGGGGACTTGAACTTTAGCTAGGCAACCCCACACTTTCATCCTTTTGAAGGTAGGTAATCTACCTTTCCATAATTCATATGGTGATTGATTACTCTTTTTATGAGGAATTTTATTCAATATCGTATTAGCAGTAAGACAAGCTTCACCCCATAGACTGAGTGGAGCCCCGGACGTGATCAACATTGAGTTAATCATGTTCTTTAGTGTTCTGTTTTTCCGTTCGGCTACCCCGTTTTGTTGAGGGGTATAAGGTGCCGTAGTTTGATGTACTATACCGTGAGAAGAACAAAATTCAGCAAATTCATGGGATTCATACTCCCCTCCTCTATCGGACCTTAAGATTTTGATCTTCTTGTCGAGTTGATTCTCGACCTCGGCTTTATATGTTTTAAACATATTAAGAGCCTCGTCCTTGGTATGTAACAAATAAACAAAACAGAACTTACTGCAATCATCTATAAATGAAATATAGTAATTTTTTCCTCCTCTAGTTGGAGTTGCCTTAAAGTCACACAAGTCTGTATGAATTAAACCAAGCACTTCATTGGATTTCTCAACTGATTTGTGGGGATGACTTGTGTATTTTGATTCTACACAAGTTTCACACTTAGTCATCTTGCCCATTGAACCTTTAGGTAACATGTTAAGATTCATCATTCTTTGTAGAGAACGGAAGTTAACATGTCCCAATCGAAAATGCCACAAATAAGGTAAGTCTAACATGTACATAGAAGGAGCGGAGCTTGTGTCCGCGTTCGTCTTATTCATAGTAATAGCATTGTTATTTACAGTGCTTATCTTAAAGAGCCCCTCATGAAGGTAGCCCTTCCCAACATACACACCACCCTTGGTGATGACAAACTTGTCCGATTCTATTACAACTTTGAACCCTTTGTTACTAAGAACCGGGCCAGATATCAAGTTTTTGCTTATTTCAGGTACATGTAAGACATTAGATAGCATAAGCTCTTTTCCAGAAGTGAGCTTGAGGGTCACGCTTCCTTTACCCTCCACCTTAGTTGTAGTAGCATTCCCCACGAACATAGGTTCCTCATTGTGAACTTTCGTATAGGTTGTGAACAGATTGTAAGAGTTGCATATGTGTCTTGATGCACCCGTGTCGAGCCACCAATCAACATTATTGGTCACCATATTTGCCTCGATCACTCCAATGAACCGGTTTTCTGAATCAGCGATGTGAGCTTGATTGGACGGGCCAGCACCACCACTTCCTCCTCCATTCCCTTGATTCCTCTTGAACCTACAATCTTTTGCTCGATGTCCAGCCTTTCCACATACCCAACAAAGGATGGGCTGTTTCTTGAAAGGGCGTTTATTTTGGGAAAGAGGATTCTTTGCATTGAAAGACTGTTTCAAAGGAGCTTTGCCTTTCATTTTCAGAAAACGTTCATTGTTGAACTTTTCTTTGGATGAGTTACCCGCCACCATATTGGCGTTGGGCTCCAAAGAAGTTCCACAATCCTTCTCGGTTTTTCTATTGTCTTCCTCTACTCGGAGTTTCAATACAAGTTGATCAAAGGTCATCTCTTCCGTTAGATGCTTAAGATACAACTTGAAATCCTTCCAAGAGGGAGGCAATTTCTCAATTATAGCACTAACCAGAAAGTTAGAGTTCAAACCCATACCTTCAACCTCGAGTTCATGAGCCAAGATTTGTATTTCCTCCACTTGTTTGACAACAGAACGAGAGTCGTTCATCTTAAAATTGAGAAACTTTCCCACAGCGAATTTCTTAGAGCAAGCCACTTGTGTTTTGTATTTGGTCTCTAACGATTCCCATATCTCCCTTGCAGTGTTGAAAGTGGAGTAAATATCATACAGGGAATCGTCTAGTCCATTTAGAATGTAGTTTCGACAACTATATTCGTTACTAGACCAAACATCGACCGCTCTTTGGAATTCCGCAATCTGTCTAGCGGTATGTACATTCTGTCCTTCACTAACAGGCGGATTAGTAGGCGCCTGTTCCGTGAGAACATTCGAAACTCGCAGCGTGGTCAAGTAAAACAGCATTTTCTGTTGCCAACGCTTGAAATCCGAACCCTTGAATTTGTCGGGTTTTTCAGCGTAATTCTTCAATATCGTTGATTGATCCATTTGTTTCTATTATCTTGAAACAAATTTCGTCTTAGATGTTAGAACCAGACCAACGAATTTCAGAATTACCACTCCAATCTAAACTAAAACAGTAACAGACAGAAAAATTAATCAAGAAAGTCCAGAAAATT